ACTTCCTAAATGCTAGTAAGACAACAAAAAAAAGTTGCAGCTCTTTAACTGAGAATGTTGTTTTCTAATTTGTTAATCAGTGAAACTACTATGGTGTGGTGGTGTGTGGGTGGGTGTTTTGGGGAACTTGATGCTTTCTTCTTATGTTGGGAGTTTCTCTTAATGCCCTGTCTCCAATTGTCTCTTGATCTACATTTATTATTTTTAAGTGCTCCCTCTTGTGTTAGTGAGAGCATGGTCATTATTGTTTCAGTATCAGTTACTAAATCACTTTGATTACAGTACATGTCATTAGTGTTTAAAGGAATTATATTGTATGTCTCCCCTCCTAAATTTTCCACATATTGTTCTGGGCCTATGTTTGCTTGCACAGAGCTCTGGATATCAAGACTTCTGATTTTCCTTGCTTTTTGTAGGGTTTTTTTTTGTAATTTTACTCAGCTGGCATCCATGTCTGTCTGCTTTTGTTGCTGCCAGTGTGCTAGTGACAACTAAAACTGTTATTGTCTGTCAGTCTTCTTCAGGTCTTAAAATATTTTAATAATTGCATGCATTTGGGCTCAGCTGGTGATCCACTTCAGAACCTCAGATTAAAATTTACTGTAATTACAACAGAGCCTGCAATATGATCCCCGTGCTTAAGTATTATTAATGTAATATCTTATGTCTAAGCATTATTAATGAGTTACTGATTAGTCAGATTTCATGTGAATACAAGAGTGGATATATTCAAGCAGATTAACCTCCAAGTTAGGGTGGTGCTATGATATGATTGTAAACATTGCATTATGGTAGTGAGAGCATGGTAGTAGTCATAATATGCCTTAATAAAGCCTATATGGCAGGATATTGGTGCATACCTAAAGATGTTGATTTCGTTACCATTAGGATGCGGTCTCCTAAGGAGGAATGAAAAGATTCAACTTCCTCATGATCTAGACAAATGGGGATAAATTTTGTTACTGATGATTTACAACATAATTTTACCAAGGAAGGAATGTAGGAGTATTTCCTACTTTACAGGTGAGAAAACTGAGTTACAGTTGCTGAGTGACCAAATTATTTCACCTTTCTAACAGATGTTCAATAAAACCTATTTTCTAATCCCAACTGTGTGATTTGGTAGCAACTAAAAGCTGCAGCCATTGCAGTAGTCTCCTGCTTTAGGATAGGAGAAAACAGTCCCCATAATCCCCAGAGAAAGGTTGCAAAATTACACAAGTTCCCTAGCAGCAGCATGCTGCTGAAGTGGAGGTTTCTTCATCTCCAATGTGTTGGTAGGGGAAAACTATGATTTATGAGGCCTCTGTTCCCATGGGCAGATACACTGCCTGGGAAATATTGAAAAAATATATATATATTAATTAATCTGATATTAGATAAGCATCAGTGTAAGAGTACCTTTTCCATGTGTATTTTCTATTAATTAAAAAATGTTAACAGTGGCTTCCTGAAAGCTTTCAGGAGTATGCAGAGGCAGAGATCAATGGTTTCCTTGTTCTTCCGTGCTATACAAAGATGATAAATAGGCACTGAGAAAACATTTTCAAAAAAAAAAAAATTTAAAACCCTTCTGTATTCTCAGCTTTGTTGAAGACTTAAAAGTGCAATTTTAAAGTCATAAGTCTGTATAGGTCACAGTTCCTTGGAGTCACGAAGACAACAGAGTTATCTTCTCGTTAGATAACAAACATTTCCATGAGTCATAGAATTAAATGAAGTTTGACTTCACCCTTACCCCCCAGGTTTTTTTTGTCTTTAAGCCTGACTGATTTTGATATCTAAAAAAAAAAATGGCTCCAGTTAAAACTTTCCTTGTGCTTGGATCAAATATAAGGGCTCCCCTCTGTGGATTTGCTGGCATCGATGGGTGGGGTTGAAGGCAACCTTTCTGTGAGTGGAGGAGGATCTTCTATAGAATCACCCATTTTCATGAAGTACATTGGGATTTCATATCTATATTACCTCTACTCTTTCATCAGGCATGATTACAAATTAGCTGTTGGGTTTAGGCCCTGCTAGGGAGGAAGATAATAGAAGTGGGATTCCATAAACTTAATTTCCTTTAGGAAGCTCTGCTCATAAAAATAAATTTTTCACTGCTTGCAATGGCAAAGAAAGCTTGCAAATGTGAATATCAGGGAATGGATACATGCGCTAATGTCTGAACCAGTGGAGAGGCTGCAGAAGGAGCTCAAACAATCATTTTGGCAAGCAGTGCTGGCTGGTATAAACCAGGGCTGTCTGAAGGAAGGAGCTCTGCTTCTTCTGTGCCCCTGAATTAGTGTATTTTATAATAATTAAAGTGATTTCTCTTTCATGGGGGTACAAATTTTGAAGTCTATTGTTCAGGAGTAGCCCATTTCAGACAATACTGTGTATGGCAAGAAGGTAAGTTCAGTCTTGTTGCTGAACATTAGACTTGGCCTGCCCCCTTCTGCTCACAGGGGTTAGGGCTTCTTTTTAGTGCTCATGAAAAAGACTTGAGCACCCTTTACTGTTGTGCTTACTTCACTGGACTTCTTTAATCTTTACTTGCAGCATGAGGGTGCTGTTGAGGTCTCCCTTAAATTTTGAATTGCTTAAATCTGTCTTGGACTGTGTTCA